GGTAAGAAAAGAAGCGCAAGCATAGAGTTAAACGAACAAACAGTTGAACAAAAGAAGATTTTATTGAAAATTCAGACCAAAGGTACAAAAGATGGGGCCTCAGCCCGGTTACACATTCTTTCCAAAGAAGTAAAAAGAAGAAAATATGGGATCAAGCAAAAAGGTCGTCAAGATCCGCATCCAAATCAACTCAAAGCCCGGTTTCAGCAGGTAGTTTGGTCACATTTTCAACCAAGTCTTCCACCGGAGGCTCCACCTGAGCTGACTGAACAGCAGGATCATTGACGACGACCGGGGCATTATTAGGCTTTGATGCTTCTTCTTCTTCCTCAACTTGAAGAAATTTTTGTTGAATGGCGTTAGCATACTCCGCCATGTAGCTCGGGATAAAGTGAGGAGGGGGATTCTGGAAAACCTCAGTCTCATTCCCTTGACCGAGCTTCAAGACCGCTGCCTTCTACCCACATTTGAAGAATATATCCTTAGCAGCTTCGCACTACAAGATATAGGTGGCTTCACCTTCTTTGTAACCGCGGTCTTCCGCGTCCTCCATCTTCTTCTCAAGCTTCGTTATCTCAGCGTTCTTCTTCTTCTCAACTTTGGCAAGCTCGCGCAGATAATGGTCCTTCAGCTCGGTCAAGGCCTTTTGTTTGTCTGCCTCCGCCGAATCTACTAGCCCAGTGAGTCGGGCGACTTCTTATTGAAGCTCGACCATTTTTTGTTTGGCTTCGTTTAGCTCGGCCGTCTTGCTATCGACGTCAGCTACGGCCAGCCTTGTCGTCTTGCCCAGCTCTAGCACACGCTTGTGTGCAATATGGTTCTTCTGCATGGCCTGCAAAAAGGCAGTAAGCAATTTTGAGTAAAAACCGAGCGAACAGATATCCAAAATTAGAAAACAAAAGAAAAATACTCACCAACACCATCGATTTGGTGGCCGAGCGGATGGCTTTCAGCTCGGTGAGATGATCGTGGTGTTCCATGTCAAGGGGCAAGCACACACTCTTAGCCAAGTTGAAGGCGAGCGAGTGGTCTTTGTCTGCCACCATTGAATCGGTGTCTCGAATGGCTCGGTTCTGGTATGATAACTTCGGGGCCCACTCAGAGGAGCTAGCCCGGTCAGAATGCTCAGGCTGTGGGCTCGGTGGCGTGGTTTGGGGAAACACGGATTCATCCTCGTCGACAAGGCGGGGCTCGGTGGTGGAAGTCCGAGCACGCTTGCTTGGCCGAGATGAGGACGATTGAGCGGTTGGAAGGGCTACCACGGCCTCTTGTGTCTGGCCAGCTTGTGGTACTTCAGCCTGATTTGTTTCGGTGATGAGGGCTCTTACTGCTCTCTTTTTGGCCATTTCTTGTTCTGCAGTCAATGAGATAAGGTTGATTTGTGAAAGGGTTGGATCAAGTTCAGGAGAGGGTTCCAGAAGAAAATCTATTACCCTGGTCTTCCTTCTACTACTGTATCTGTATGTCGGCTCAAAGTTGAGTAGCTCGGCCCAACCTCAATCGTGATATCTTAGTGCGGCGCGGAGTGCGTCTAGGTTGGGATAACTATATTGCGACTTTAGATGGTCCAAATCTGCATAAGGAAAAAAGCTAACGGTTAGCAACGTGCCAAACTTATAGATAGAGTAAAGAAAGCAGAAAACTAAGCCGAGGTAATTATACCAGCTACTCTTTTGTTCCAGTTGATGCGGTCTCCTGGTATTTGGGCTTCCTGGTCCTCAAAGTTACCAGAAACCTAGAAAAAATCATCGTCATTTACATCTTTGTCTGGGGTGTTCTTTATTATCTTTTCTCGGCGGCATCTTATTCTTAGGTAATATACCCAGCCATCTTCATTCTGGCCAATGGAGCATTGGTGGAATAGTTCGGCTAAACTGAGGTTAAGGCCAAGCCGGCGATTTAGCTCAGCGATGCCGTTTATTATTTTGTATGAATTGGTGCTAAGTTGGGTAGGGCAAAGTCTTGTTTGTTTGAGGAATTCACAAAGAAAAGGCTGTACAGGGAATCGGAGTCCGGTTTCTACAATAGAAAAGAGGGTGAAGGGAACGAAGCCCGGTTTACCCCAAGGAGTGGTATCTAGTTCGACTAAACTAAGGTGAACATCATCAGGGATGCTGTAGTCCCTTCGGAACTCGGCCATAGCCCCTGGAGAGTTTACTAAGAATCTATACTTCCCCATGTGGACTTAAATTATGTATAATTTAGCTCAGTGTTGAGATGACCTTCAGTATCTCGGTTGAGCGTGCAAAGGTGTGCCTGGCCAACCTAGTCAGTCTGCAAAGTGAAAAGAAAAAGTGTTAAGCACAGATCGTTGGACCGTGCTAAAAGAAACAAAGGCAAAATAAATGGAGTCCTAGCTCGGCTACGTACTATACAGTCTGTTCTTAGCTCGATTGAGACGAAGGACTTCAGCTCGGTTAAGCGGAACGACAGGTTCCTAGCCCAGTTGAAGCTTAGGGTGTGGCATTCTTGGTTCAGTTTTGACTAAATCAGAGAGCTGGTTTGGTCCCAAGTGATAGTCCGGTCATTGGTTAAGGCTTTCTAGTTCGGTAATGCACACACCTAATACAGTCTCTTAGTTCGGCTAAATGAAACAGAAGGTAAGTCTTATTGGAACTTAATCTAGTTCGGCTAGGTGCACAGCTTAAGTACAAATAGGTTCCTAGCTCGGTTGGACTTCTATTTTGGATCAAACGCATCGTTCTTCAGATTATTCATGAAAACAGAGGTTCTATTATATGGTTTTTTCCCAGAAAAATGGAAACCAAAGTAGTGTGTTTTAAGAAAAATACGAATAGTATGCTACATGCTACAGAAACTAAACAAACAAAAAGGAAGTGGGATTGAGTTACTTACAGTTTGAAGACGAGAGGCTGAAGATTGAGATCGCAAGGAAGAGCTTCGCAGGCACTGTGTTTAGAAAAATGAAGGCTCAGAGAGAGAGAGAAAATGATGAATAGTAGAAATGGTGTATTCAAAACATAGGGTTTTTGTTTAAGGCGTATGGAAAAGGCAGGACTGTTCAAAATACGCGAAGTACGAAGACGGCTGGGACAGCTGTGCTTGACCAATGGGGGTCAGCCACGTGTCCGTGGAATAGAAAGCGATTCAGTTTTGCAGCGACTGAAAAGACGTTTTTTTGATCGAACTGTTCGGTAGCCCGGCGGCGTTTTAGCTTGGTTGAAAGGCTAAAGTTTTTAGCTCGGCTGGTGACAAATAATCCCAATCATGCTACGCAAATGGAATTAAGGGACAATTGAGAGGGTAATTTATAATTGGGCCGAGCTAAGGGCTTCTTTGTAAGTTGGGCCGCACAATGGACCTGGGTAAGGTTTGACGTAGCCCGGTCTTAGAGCTAGCGAGCTTGACCCAAGCGAAGTTCGAACCAAGCTATGGATTGAGGAGCTTGGGCCTTGCGTGATAGACCTCATCCTTGTTAGCCCAGTGAGGGATTGCTGCAGTTTGCTCGGTTCGAACAACTAGAACTGAGGTGTACTTGGACGGGGACCGAGCTAGGCACTGTGTACAGAATCACCGAATTGAGTATGTCAAAGGGTAAGTGTTAGCTCGGTCATCCTATCATCCAACCGTGGTAAAACCATCTCACTTGGTTTACGCAGTGAGGGGGGTGTTGAAGGATAAGCATTATCTTTCAAGAGTGTGATTCCTAGGAGGATTCTACTTGGAGGAATAAGAGTTCTACTAGGATTGTGCTATGCGGAACCTATAAAAGCTCACAACATAACCTATGTAAAGGTAACACAACTTTAATTCTCGAATACACAGAGCTTTTGTCTATTTGTCTATTTTGCTGACTTAGGCATCGGAGACGTATCCGGCACACACCCTCGGCTAGCTCACGTTTGTGTTTTCAGGGAGTAAAGCAACGACGTTTGGAGGAGCGCAGACTTGATCAACAGGATTATATGAGAACATTATTTCTTGCTCGTACAGCAACCATTACGCTATGGCCTTTATATCTCGCAACCGCAACCGCAACCGCAACCGCAACCGCATCACCGCAACCGTTACGGCGACTGCAACTGCTTTTCGAAACCTTGCGTGTAAGACAAAGAGAGGATCGTACATCCACGCGTCCCAGAAAAGGCGAGCAAGGCCTCCATGCAAAAGGTCTGCAATTCCTTACACTAAACTCTCCTTACTTTCCTTCTTCTTTCAAAGGTTACTAACTTGACCGTTAGATGAGTTTTCCGGTGACACACCCGCTGGTACCTCACCGTTGTTGTGTTTTCAGGCCGTACGACACCATTCGGTGTAGCACAGAGCATGGTCTCAAGGTACAGACACGAAGAATATTTGCTTCCCATACAAGAAATATATGAATTGTTAATCATCCAAATAAAATTTATTTAAATTTTGTGTATATGATTCATTTCTTTTTGTGTTTCTCTACCAAAGATAAATTATACCGTTGTACACATTAAAATAAATGTATAACCTTTAAGCAAATCCTAATTGTAATTTTTATTTTCCGTGAGCTAAACATTTACTGATATGTTTACTGGATTTATTCAATTATACAAAAACTCCTTGAAGACAAGAATCCTTAATCTGCTATTTGGCCTTTTCTCATCCGTGACATTTTTCTTCTCAACTTCTCTCTTATACTTTTACGTGCTGTAATATTGTACCGATTTGCCTATCTTCAATCTTTTGTTTACCAGAAAGAATAATGACTTTCAGGTCAACCAACAGCTTCTCTGAATTCAGTTTGACAATTTCAAGCCAGAGATCTTCGAGGAAATCAGAACATTGCCAAACGATGATTCTGATTCTGAACTTGAGTCTTCTTCTGATGATCATTGGATTAATAATTCTTCTTTGGATTCTAAAGCCGAAACAGAGGTAATCGATATTAACTAGAAAGTAGAAACAGTCATGGACTGATAAAACTATGCAATTTATTTAAGTGAATGAGTTGTCAATATGGCTTATAGAAAAGAAGGAAAAATTGGCATTGTTTGAATCTAGACAGAACCAGTCCCAAAATCCAAAGCAGCCCATTTCCGCAGAATCAACATTACATTGTCTACTGTGCTGTGTTATATTTGGATTTTTCTTGATATTAGTTCTCTGGTTCTTCTCATGGCTGAAATTGATAACCCACCAAGTGGAGGAAAACGCACGCCGCCTAAAGACTTTGTATGTCCCATAACTAGTCACGTATTTCATGATCCTGTGACTCTAGAGACTGGTCAGACTTACGAGCGTGAAGCAATCCAAGAATGGCTTGATAGGGGAAATTGTACGTGCCCAATTACGCGCCAAAAGCTTCCCAGCACTCAACTGCCTAAAACAAATTATGTACTTAAACGTCTCATAGCGAGTTGGCAAGAACAGAATCCCAATTCAGTTCCCGTCAAAACTGAAAACTCACAAGCAGAAAGAGAGCCATTTTTGAACTCAATGACGCATTTGATTTCTCCTAACATTGATGGCACAGTTAGTGAGCTGCGACAAGCCATTACAAACCTTTGTATGTCAGAAATTTTAAAAGAGTCAGAAATGGCGGTGCTACAAATTGAGCGGTTCTGGCAGGAATCAAAAATGGAAGTCGAGATTCAAACTATGCTCTCGAAACCTCCGGTTATTAATGGGTTTGTGGAGATCCTTCTCAATTCTGTGGATCTCCAAGTCTTGACTGCGACAGTTTCCCTCTTGTCCGAGCTTGGATCAAGAGACCACACTGTGATCCAGACACTAACCACAGTGGATTCTGATGTGGAATGTGTTGTTGATCTTTTCAAGAAGGGTTTATTTGAATCTGTCGTGTTGATTTACTTGCTAAGACCCTCCTCCACGAGCCTCATTGAGATGGAAATGGTGGAGACCCTTTTGATAGTAATTAGAAATAAAGAAGATGATACGCTCAAAATGTGTATGACGCCAAAAACAGCAGCAGTGATTTTGTTGGGGCAAATACTTGAAAGTGCTCAGGAAATTAGTGAAATTGTGAGGAGGGCTATTACGACTAAGGCAATTGAAAGTTTTGTCACGAGCTTGAAATCCGATTGGGTAGAGGAAAGGATCACTGCGGTTGGTATCTTATTGAGGTGCATGCTAACGGAAGGCAAGTGCAGGAATGACATTGCTGATAAGGCTGAGTTGGGCCCTGTTCTGGAGAGCTTCATGGGTGCAAATGATAGTGAGCGCTTTGAGATAGTTCGATTTTTTTCTGAATTAGTTAAGCTGAATAGGTACTTTTTTTTTGGCTCAGTGTTTTTCCATCCTCATCTATGGCTATTCATATTTGTATATCTTCAATAATTTTAGACTCAATTAACAATGCCATTTTTTTTTTCAGAACAACGTTTAATGAGCAGATCCTCCATATCATAAAGGATGAAGGAACTTATAGTACAATGCACACACTCCTCATGTATCTACAGACAGCCCTCCAGGATCAATGTCCTATCGTAGCTGGCCTCCTCCTCCGGCTTGACATATTGGTTTGAAATTTTCTCTCCCTCCCCAGTGATCAAAATTTCTTTTCCATATGTTGTTTTGGTTAGCTTGGAAATAGAAACATTTCTGAAATGTTTCAGAAACGTAAGGGAAAGGGGAAAAAAGGGAATAGAAAACATTTTAAATGTTTAGAAACAACTAATTGTTTCATAGTGTTTTGGTGCGTTTCAGCATGTTTCAGTAGAAACACTGGAATTTCAGTAATTCATTAATGTTTCATTTTTGTTTTCTAGAAAACGGGAACATTTCAACTGTTGCAATAGAAAAGAAACGAAATTTTGTTCCGTTCTCTCTCTCTCTTTCTCTCTCTCTCTGATAAAATGGCTTCTAACAGTATTTTAATTAGTACTTTTTCATTTTGTAGGAGGAGCCAAGGAAGATGAGCATATACCGAGAAGAGGCAATAGATACCCTTATTTCATGCCTAAGAAATTCAGACTTCCCTGCCACTCAAATAGCAGCTGCTGAGACAATTTTGGCCCTCCAAGGGCGGTTCTCTTCTTCTGGAAAGCCCGTTGCCCGGATCTTTCTCCTTAAACGTGCAGGACTTGACAAAAGTTACAAATCTTTAACGAGAAAGGAGCAGTTTAGGAACATATCAGGAGACATTCCAGGAAATTTGGTTCGCTCATTTGTTTATTGTTATAATCTTTGTAATCTTCATAGATACCTTATTTTTTGTTTCTCTTAATGTTTAGGGCAAATTACACTTTACCCTGTCAACTATGGGCCGTTGTTAATTTACCCCCTTCAACTAAAAATTACTACATTTTGCCCTTGTAATCTTCTGATTTGTTTCAATCTCAAACTTTTGCTAACACGTCATTTTGAAAAGACAATGAAAAAGTGGCATAGGAGCTGTACATACCAATTTTACAAGAAAATATTCATGTAGTAGGTGCTTTACATACATATATGTGAGACGGATGTATAGATTTTCCCATATGTGTGCATATATTTTGTCTCACATTTCTTCATAGGAGAGGAGAAGATATATACATATCTCTCACATATACGTAAATAAATCAGTTCTCTAATGAGTATTATGGTCATAAATTGGTACGGGCAGCTCACATGTCATTTCCGTCCTCTTTCATAAGAAAATAAAAAGATGAGATTGAAACAAATCAAAGATCAAGGGGGTAAATTGTAGCAATTTTTCGTTAAGGAGGGAAAACTGACGACATCCCATAGTTAAAGCAAGCTAAAATAGTTATGCCCTATTGTTTATTGTTACATTTTTGTTGTTTATATTTGCTAAACTACATGTCTCTTTCAAACATAAAATAAAAAATGTGATCCCTAATAAACTACAAACTAAATTACCAATTACTCACAATGTGGGGTGAGCTCCATACTCTTGTGATGGGATCCACACCTTATTGTGAGCAGTTGACAATTTAGTTTGTAGTTTATTAGGAATGACTTACTTAAAATTTTAAATTCTATCTATAGGAGGAGGAGAAGGCTGCTGAGGAGTGGGAAAGAAAGATGGCATTTGCTCTTGTCAGCCATGAATCTGGTCTGGTGTTTGAGGCTTTAGCAGTAGGCTTAAAGAGTAGATATGCAGAGTTATGTTCAGCATGCTTTGTGTCAGCCACGTGGCTTTTACAAATGCTCAATGTCCTTCCAGACACAGGCGTACGAGGAACAGCTCGTGTATGCTTGCTCAAGCGCTTTTTATCACTATTCAAGTCTGCAAAGGACAAAGAAGATAAAGTCCTTTCCATGCTCGCTCTGAATAGCTTCATCCGTGATGCTGGTGCGTAACAATTTATGGAATTAGTAAAAAGTTTGCTCCATAATTTTATTGCAAGATAGTTATTGCAAAACTTGAGTTATATCCAAAAACGAAAATAATTGTAGAAATGGGCTAAAGTATCTATTCTGTAGGAGCAAAATCAGTATGTAAGATGTTCATTAGTAGGGGGAAAAAATGTGAAAAGAAAACAATTATGGCAATCACTGCTTCTATACAATCAAAGTGATATCTGCATAATATATATATATATATATAGATTTTGTTAACGTGTGCCCTTACGGCACATGTTGATAAGCTTAAACAGATTGTACATTTTGAGTCTATTTGGTCATAATTATGTTTGTCTGCCTACATCTTTCTTGGGAATCTATTTTGTGAAAAGAATGTAGTTCTTGTACTTGGCATTGTGTCTTGCAGAGGGGATGGGTGAAATTACTTCCCACCGGAAGGATATCTTAACGGGTCTGAGAGAGCTCAAGAAATCGTCTACAATGGCATTTGATATGCTGAAAGTTTTCTCAGAAGGGAATGACTCCAGTGCTGTAAGTTTCTTCTACTTTATTCTATTCTGTCTTATCTCGGAAAATTGGAATTAGCTTCAGGCAATATTCTGTTCTTTGGCACCAGGACCTGTGGAATCATAAAGAATTAGTTCAAGAAGATTGCAATGTAAATGGAAAAGTGCTGTCAGTAGTTTGCTTCAAAAACAAGATATTTTCTGGCCATTCAGATGGAACGATAAAGGTAAATGAGCCACTCTGTTAGGCTGTGTTTGGGTCTTGAATTTGGAGAGGAATTTGTGGAGAAAAGGGAAAAGTGACAAAATTTTAGCTTATATTTCGTTTTCATTTCCCTCGTTTCCTTTTCCTCCATAAATCCCTCCCCCAATACTAGATCCAAACACAACTAGTATTTTTCATGGATTGTACTTTCCATGGTTTCAGTTTTTTAAATATAGTGGCTTATGTGTGGATCCTAGAATTCTAAATGTATTTTATAGACAGTGCATGTATTTATATATATCTCGTCATTTAAAGAACTGAATACAAGTATAACACATGTATATAAACAATTCAGTTGTTGTTCTATGCATTCCCCATGTAGATGGCTTTGTATATACATTTGGTGATTGGAAGTCTCACTACTACACTATAACTTAGTGAAATAACCACAATCATCGGAATTGATCCTATAGAAGATGATGGCAATTATTAAATTAACTGTTAATATATATAATATATCTACATAGATAATATATATAATCTATATACATAGATTAGATTAATGTATAGTTAGTGGCAGTAGTGGCATTGTGCTTTCGGCTGCTTTTCCTTTCTGTCCCTTTCCTATGATGGTGTCTGTATAGCTTTAGCATCTTCCCATCTCCTATATATGAAGGAGTGTGTGTATCTATTGTAAATCAATCTATCAATACATAATTCATTCTCTCTCTTTTTATCTATACATTAAATCTAATATGGTATCAGAGCAAGGTTAAGAATTTAGTATTTTTCGCTTCACCGGCGGATGGCAACCTCGCCTTAGCCGCCCGCCGGACCTCAACCTAGTCCGCTAGAATTTTCTACACATACCACTTTGCCACTCTGAATTTCCCACCAATACAAGCCTCCGGGCATTTATCCGCGCTGCCCGTTTGAACACCCATTTAAGTGGTTTGTTCTCCAACACCAGCTTTGTTACAACATAGATCTTACCCACGTCGTCGAGCACTCTGTCGGCCCACACGACAGCCACCGACGCCGTGATCTGGCCAACGTCGACCCACGCCACCTTGCACACCGTCGGCGGCCACAGCCGATGTTGACGTGATACCAACTGCGACGCCACACAGTGGGTTCTCTCTGTATACTCCACACAGTGACTTTACCTGAACTGATGTTCCCATCTCTCTCCCTACCAACTTGTTTGGTCACCTTTTCTCTCTCTAGACATGCTCTCTGCCGAGAGCTCTACATCAATTGAGGCACACACACACAGCAGCAGCTCCTATCACACACTCAACACACACACACAGTCGAAACACACTCAACACACACACACGCATGAGGCAACACACGCCACCATTGCCATCACACACCACACCACCGTTGTTGTCACACACCACACCACCGATGCCGTCACACCCCGCACCACCGCTGCCATCACACACCACACCACCGCTGCCATCACCATTCACACACTGATACACAGACCGATCATCAACCTCTCACAGACCGATCATCAACCTCTCTCTCTCTCTTTCGGTGTAGGCATCTTTTTGAAGCTGAAAAATCGACACACACAGAAGACCAAACCCAGCTCTCTCTCTCTCTCTCTCTCTCTCTAACAGAGCTCTCTCACTCTCTCGGCCCCTCTCTCTCTCGGCAGCTTTGACAAAAAAAAAAAAAAAATACACACACACTGATATGCACACTGCTACACCGCACACAGCACATGCATACACAAGCACACACACGGCACACACCAAACCCATCTCTCTCTTCTCTCTCTGCAACATACACAAACAGCTCACTCTCTCTGCAACTCTCTAGCTGGGTCTCTCTCTCTCCAATGATTAGAGAGACAGCATTACACCAAACCCAGCTTTCTCACTCTCTTTCCAATTAAAAAAACCCACTGAAGTTACAAATATATTAGATATATAATATATATACAAAATCGTGGGCCACTCTTTTTGGTTTTGCGAAACCAATTAAAAAAAAAAAAAAAAAGTTACCCACGTGATCCCACTAACCAATGCACTTTAATCTCTCTCGGGTCTATGTATGAAAGTTGCACAATCTCTCTCTCTGGTCCCTTTTTTTCTCTACTTTAATCATATCCATCATTTCCCTTAATTTTATTCCACCCACTCTCTCTATGGTCCATTCTTCCCCATTAATACATTATTATTATTATTATTATTAACAAAAAAAAAAAAAAAAAAAAAAAAAAAAAAATATTCCAAACACCATTCCTGGATTTAACAAAACCGTGGGCCCCGAAACCACGTGAACCACTTTCCTTATTTCCCCGCTCTTTCGTTTTGATTTCAAATATTTTCTTATTATTTCTTTCTTTATTTTTCTTTCACATTATTTTTAATCCTTTTCCATTTCCATTCATACCATATAGATTTGCACTCCAAACCTTGTTTTATTCATCTCAGGAATCTACTTCCGTCGCGTTCTCACCAGAGAGTTACAAAAAAAAAAAAAAAAAAAACTGTCATTTCTTCTTGCCGGGATCTAACCCGATCACAATTTTCCACACGACAAAAAAAAAAAAAAAAAAAAAAAAAAAAAATTGAGCTTTTTTCTGTTTTACTCCACTTTATCAATCCCTTTGTTTCAACCTCAAATAGGTTTCTATCTTCACACCTATTTGAGTTTGAGGGGGGGTTATACATATATCATGGTGAGCATGGTTACACACCATGCGAATCGCCCAAGCTAATAAGCATGGTTATATACCATGGGAACCAACCAAGCCACCCCATGGCGCACTCCCTAAGTTGCCTCCTCGGTGCACCACCACGGCTTTTACATCGGTCCGGCATGACCCCGTAAACTGTCCCGACATTGATTTCGATCAGCTTTTACATCGGTCCGGCATGACCCCGTAAACTGTCCCGACATTGATTCCAGTCAGCTTTTACAACGGTCCGGCATGACCCCGTAAACTGTCCCGACATTGATTCCGGTCAGCTTCAACATTGATCCAGCATGACCCCGTAAACTGTCCCGACATTGATTCCGGTTAGCTTTTACAACGGTCCGGCATGACCCCGTAAACTGTCCCGACATTGATTCAGACATTATCTGCTACAACGGTGTAACACGACCATATCGTGTCTTCAACAACAATTTGACACAACCATACAGTATCTCCTATCCTATTTTATTTTATTTATCAGTTTACTTTCATGTTTTGTTACTCTCTCCAAACTCAAGTTGGTTAGTACCTATCCTCCTTGAGTTTGAGGGGGGCTGTTAATATATATAATATATCTACATAGATAATATATATAATCTATATACATAGATTAGATTAATGTATAGTTAGTGGCAGTAGTGGCATTGTGCTTTCGGCTGCTTTTCTTTTCTGTCCCTTTCCTATGATGGTGTCTGTATAGCTTTAGCATCTTCCCATCTCCTATATATGGAGTGTGTGTATCTATTGTAAATCAACAAATCAATACATAATTTATTCTCTCTCTTTCTCTATTAATTTATCTTACATTAACCAAGTGACTAATTGATTTCATGCCTTTTCATCCTACCAATCCAAACCCCCAAAAGAACAGACTCCAGAGATTTTGTTCATCGGAAATAGCCAATCTAGCTAGAAGCTATCCTAATTTTTTGGTGTTGAATGGTGTTATCCATAGTGCAAGCAATTGATGTGTGCATGCGCTAATACATGAGCAAGTGGTTAAGTAGGTAGCAAGCATGGGCGCATATGCGCCACTGTTTCCAAATAGATTGTAAAATTTTTGTTGAAGACCTGTGCATTTCTCCACTTGCAAAGAACTGGTTTCTCATAGAGAAATGTCGGCTCGGAGTCACCAACTGCATATGGTTTTTGTTGATGTATCTTAACACTGAGATTGTATTTGGAACCATATATGCCTCTAATATAAGGCATGTTATTGTTTTAGTTGAATTCAAACAGATTTACATGAAGAGGCAATGTTAATACTTAATACCCATCAAGATATAAGGTTACTAAACAAATAAGCCGGTGAATTTCAATCTGCTGCCAAATTTTTTATTGTTTTCCCCTACTAAAAATCCTGAAGGTGTGGACTGGTAGAGGATGCATTATACCTCTTATTCAAGAAACTCAATTGCATACCAAGGCAGTTACTAGCTTGGCAATTCTACAGACACAAGATAAGCTATACAGTGGTTCACTTGACAGGACTGTAAGGGTATGTCATAATCTTTTTTCTAATTCAGATTGGTTTAATTTGCATTCCTTAAAAGTTTCTTGTTCATGCAACTAGGTCTGGTCTATCAACAGTGAAGTAATTCATTGCACACAAGTTCATGAAGTGAAGGATCAAGTTAATAATCTACTAGTTGATAAAAGCATTTTGTGCTTCATTCCACAAGGAGCTGGCATCAAGGTGTGTCATAAAGCTTCCATCTAATTTTCTAAACATTTTATTTCTACATTTAACAATGTCACATACCTTGAAAAATTACTGTGAAATTCATTTTAGATGTGGTCCCATCACATTAACATTAAATCCACATTGTACACCTCACTTTTGGGGTACGTTGCATTTTTCTTCAACGTATAAGCCTTTTAAATCACACTATGGAGGATGATTTGACCATCATTTTATTTTGATGGTGGTAAGGGTGCATACATCTTGAACTCCCAAAATCCTACTTGCTCTTTTTATTATTTTGTTCTGACTTCCTCAATCATTCAATTGTCAAGGGAATCACCAAATTATCCCCAAGGGGCCAATGAAGCCATTCATCATGAACTTGCTGCTGAAGTACTAATGGTCAACACTGTTTTCATCTTGCATATGGTTTTTTTAAAGGGGAAATTACCAAAAAAAAAAGAAAGAAAGAAAGAAAGAAAGAAAGAAGAAGAAAAAGAAAGAAAGAAAGAAAAAAGGAGAAAAAAATGGAAACTTCACAAAACAATTGCATAAACATGGAGAGTAAAAATAACTATAGTAGGGGTCTATAAAGCAATGACACTCCAAAATAGCTGCCATAGCAATGGCGTGTCGTTTTATTAATTAATCTACTAGTTGACAAAAGCATTTTGTGCTTCACTCCACAAGGAGCTGGCATCAAGGTCTGTCATAAAGCTTCCATCCAATTTTCTAAACATTTTATTTCTACATTTAACAATGCTACATACCTTGAAAAATTATTACGAAATTCATTTTAGATGTGGTCCCATCACACTAACATTAAGTCCTGTACACCTCACTTTTGGGGTACATTGCATTTTTCTTCAACATTAAAGCCTTTTAAATCACACTATCGGGGATGGTTTGACCATCACTTCATTTTGATTGTGGTAAGGGTGCGTGCATCTTGAACTCCCAAGATCCTATTTGTTCTTTTTATTATTGTGTTCTGACTTCCTCAACCCCAAGAGGCCAATGAAGTCATTCATCATGAACTTGCTGCTGAAGTACTAGTGGTCAACACTGTTTTCATCTTGCATATGGTTTTTTTAAAGGGGAAATAAAAAAAATAAAAAATAAAAAGAAGAAAGAAAAAAGTAGGAGAAAAAATGGAAACTTCACAAAACAATTTCATAAACATGGAGAGTAAAAATAACTATAGTAGGGGTCTATAAAGCACCGACACTCCAAAATAGGTGCCATAGTAGTGGCGTATTGCTTTATTAATTAATTATTTTATTTTATTTTATTTTTTTTATTGAATTAGTGTTATTTTTTGTTACTTTTGATTGATTGTGGTGAAATAAAAATACATAAAAAATACTTTTTTTTATTGCCATATCCCCACCGTGTCCTCATTTTTGTGAAATCACCGTATCCGTGGCTGTGCTTCTTATGTAGGGGTAAAAAGTTGAAAACTAATTGCAAAATCATGATTTTTTATTGCTTTGCCCCTCTTTCTCTTTTCCTTTCTCCCCTCTCCTTCCTCTCACATCCCTCCCTCTACAACCAGCCATTTCCCGTCAACCATCACCACCACCACCATCACCCTACCCACATCCCGACAAGGCCTTACCACTGTCACCACCATCGCCACCCTCTCCCCAACCTTCCTCCAACCCCACCACGAAAAAAATTTAAATGTAATGGTGATACCATGTCATCAATATAACCATTCAATAACTTCTTGCAAGGTAATTATGTCTAGAAACCTCCTTTATTGTTTGTTGGTGATATACCACATCATTGGTATCACCGTGACACTGAATTTTTAACCCCCCCTTCCCCCCCAACCACCTCCAGCCTGTTACCTACCCTCACCCTTCCCGACTATTGAGAGTATGCAACAACCCCTTTACGCTACAAACCCTAGATCTCCCCTTTGCAAATCTCTCTACAAATGTCACACAAATCCTTAGCTCCCAATTTGTTGTTGATTGTAATCTTAGGGTTCACAAAGAAAAAGGGAATGGTGGCAGTGGAGAAAGGGCGGCGAGTTGCGATGAGAGAAGAGGGAGAGAGATAGTGTTAGTAAAAATTATGCTAGGCCTTGATCGACAGTAATCAAGCAATAATTTAAACAGGAAACCAGACGATTGTATAAAGGTTCTAAATGCCTTGAAAGTATAAGGACTTCTTTGGAACAATTAGCAATCGAAAGAGTGAAGTATCCAAACAAACAAAGACAACTCCAGATGAAATTATCTAAGTTTACAAGAATTACAAGTCACAAATTACAGAGAAAACTACTCTTAAGTTAAGATAATCTACTCCTAAGACTTAAGGTAGACTACTCCTAAAGATAAAAAGAAAAAAAACTATGATAAGTCTGATGATTTGTTGATGTCCCCTCTCTTTGCAAACTTTTCGGTCTTTATAGCTCTTCTTTCCGATGACCTCAAGATCTCCTCAATCTGCAACTGCTACTGTATAACAGCTACAACTGCTCCCTCACTTCCAAATCCTCAAACCACATTAAGCCTTCACTTTCACCTGTCGATCTTCACTTCCTTTTAGTTGACACGTGTCCCTAGGTCCTTTCAACCTTCCTTTGACAGAGAAAAATCCCCACCTTGTTCATGTTTCCCTCTGCAAGTCACCCACTAAGCCCATGACTTGGCCAAAAACTGCTCTATCATCTTCACTGTTTAATGCACATTCTCATCCTCTCAACTTGCTTACCCCTTAAACAACCGCTGAACCCTTACTTGATTTTGCCACATGTCGTATCCTAACTGGTCTACCTGTCGATATGAACCAGCAAAAATGGGTGCAAACAGATAGAAGCTTAATAAATCACACATCTTTCAGTTAAGGTTAATTCCAAAAGTAGTTGTGGCGATAGGCAACTGATTTATGTACCTTCCTATTCTTGTATCAGGTGCAGTCATGGAGTGGAGGATCCAAATTGTTGAATCCAAGCAAATATGCAAAGTGTTTAGCCCTTGTACAAGGGAAATTATACTGTGGATGCCAGGACAATACTATTCAGGTACCAAAATCTCTCTATCTTTACATCCATTGCCTCCTTTCGTGTTTCTTCCCTTCCTTCTTTTCTTTTGATCAGTGACAAAATTTTATTTATTTTGACTTTCACAATCTTTCAGGAAATTGGTTTAGACACCGGAACTCTCAGTACAATTCAAACTGGATCCAGGAAATATCTAGCGAAAGCAAGTCCCATCTATGCACTGCATGTTCATGATGGGCTAATATATTCGGCCAGCTCTTCCTTAGATGGAGCAGCTATAAAGGTACCGCTTCTTTACAAAATTTGATGACCTCCCGGATTTTAGTTTTTTTTTTTAAATTTTTTTTCTTCTACATATTAGATGATGATGTGTCCATTCTAAGTAACTGAAATTGAATATCTCCCAAAACTTGCATAAAACTTTTAACTGATCATTTTATAAGTTTGTGGATAAATCATATTTTGTGCATTAAATATCATTTCAGTCCCTTATTTTCCAATTGTAACGGTTAATCCCTTATATTTTTTAGTCAAATTGTAATATTGTACTTCCATTAGTTTGGTGTTAAAGTGCCTACTGGAAATTATCACTTGACCGTCACATGTGGTATTGTTTAGGGCAAAAATGTAATTTTCTTCTCCTCTCTATTTTTCTATTTTTTCGCAATATTTTCTTTCTACGGTATTTTCTAGACCCACCACTACTGGAAGTGACAGAAAAGAGGTGGGCAATGGCCATAGGTAGTGGGGAAGGGGTGAGGGAATAGCAAGGATGGGTTGGTCGGTGGTGGTGGTGGATTTAGAAAATACAATAGAAAGAAAAAAAATAAAGTGAAAAAAAGAGAAAATGAAAGAAAAATATTATTTTTTCCTAAAAAGTGTCTCATGATAGGGCTATATGGCAAATTTTGTAAGGCAATTTAACACCAAACTAGCTGATGATTCCCATTGCAAATTGACCAAAAGTGTACGAAAATGAGGAACCAAAGTGAGATTAGGTGCAAAGGTTAATTTACCCGAAGTATTGTGTTTATATGACAAATGATATTTGATTGTTGTTATGTGGCAAAAGATATGGAATGCTTCGAATTACAGTATGGTTGGATCGTTGCCATCTACATTGGAGGTGAGGGCCATGGCTATAAGCTCTGAGCTGATATATTTGGGTTGCAAGGGAGGGATTGTGGAAATTTGGTGCAGAAAAAAACACAGTAAAATAGAAACACTTCAAAGTGGTACTACTGCTAAAATTCTATGTATGAGTCTTGATGCCGATGAAGAAGTTTTGGTGGTTGGAACATCTGATGGCGGAATTCAGGTACATTTTTCCTTTCATCTCAACATTCATAGAGCATAAACACAGTGTAAAAGATGCTTTCGAATTCTTTACTTTTAGTGAACTTTAAAAAACTAACAATTATAGGGACTACCGGTATAATAAATATACTACACCGATTTCACTTTGATCTCTCTAGTTTTACACATGGTCTTTGTCCATTCTAATTTCTAATAGTGAGTGATGGACGGACCACATTGTCACAAAATTGAAAGTGTATAGAATAAATTGTTTAAATTGAGATTACGGAGATTAAAGTAACACTTTGCTTAAATTATATGAAATTTATAAATTTAAACACGCCGTAGAGGTAGTAGATTTATTAGCTTTTCCAACTAATGGAAGGAGCATTTCTCTTGATGTGCAGGCATGGGGACTGACCTAAATGAGGATGAACCACAAGTTTTTCATATACACGGTTGCAGACTAAAATCATCAATTGACATTATTTTGGGTTCTAGGAACTAGGAATAAGCTTCTTCTCTGTTTGGGAGATGTTCTTGGCAAATTGTATATATACATATTATGACAACCTTTGTTGTTTCCGTCATGGCCGTTATAGGGCCTCTTTATATCCTTGTACAGAATAACGTACAAAGAGCTTGAAATTGTTGGAAAAATAAATTTGCTTTCCGTGTTTATATAGTTCATATTACACAACCGTTTCTTTTATCTCATAAAAAAGTCAATTATCAATTTCCAAACGAGATCTAACTCTAATCACCTTGTTTGGTTCAGAATTTTGAATCTGTTTTTCAGAAATTTGATTTTTTTATTTTTTGTATTTTCTTAATTTTTTAATATTTAAAGTATTTTTTTTAGTTTTTAGATACACTTAACATAAATACACGAAAAAATAAAATATTTATAGAAAAAAATCTTTAAAAAATTTACTAAATACCAAAAATATAAAAATTCAGTAAATATTAGTATTCTTGTATATTTATTATACAAAAAAAAATATATATATTTTTATAGGGCCTCTTTTTTTTCACTTAATTTTTTTAATATTTGAAATATTTTTTTTTAGTTTTTAGATACACTTAACATAAATAATGTCTCTCTTAGATCAAACAGGGCAGTCCTATTTGAATCATGTCTCTATTTGATCTATATTGTTCTTGTGCCTCATTCTGTTGCCATATAAAAGGAAAAAAATTTGAATCATGTCTCTCTTAGATCAAATAGGGCAGTCCTATTTGTATATTGAAATCCTGTGTTGGTTCTTGATTGCAGGTAATGGGAAATCCCATTGACTCTAGTTGTATATTGACTCTAGTTGGTTCTTGATTGCAGGTAATGGGAAATCCCATTCAAATCCTGTGTTGGTTCTTGTATATTGAAATCCCATTGACTCTAGTTGTGAAAAAGAAAGGTGTTCCTAATCTTACAATGGTGGACCTTCCTGGAATCACTAGAGTGCCTGTTCATGGCCAACCCTACAGTGCCTGTTCATGGCCAACACAATATATTCAGCAGTCTCAAACATTGAACAAAATCAAGTGATGCTCAATTTGGTGAGATCCCAGATTAACACAATATATTCCACATCTCACCGTCTCACATTATTCAGCAGTCAAATGGATCTCACCATCTCTCATTATTTAGCAGTCAAATAGTGAGCATGATGAGTCTATACCCAGATTAATGTCATTATTCCAATTGAACAGATTAACAGATTAACAGATTAACAAAGGTGTTCCTAATCTTGAACAGATTAACACAAATAACACATCTGTAACACAAAATCAACAATTCAGCAGTCAAATGGTGAGCATGATGAGACTATACTATACCCAGATTAATGTCATTATTCCAATTGAACAGATTAACAGATTAACAGATTAACAAAGGTGTTCCTAATCTTGAACAGATTAACACAAATAACACATCTGTAACACAAAATCAACAATTCAGCAGTCAAATGGTGAGCATGATGAGACTATACTATACCCAGATTAATGTCATTATTCCAATTGAACAGATTAACAGATTAACAGATTAACAAAGGTGTTCCTAATCTTGAACAGATTAACACAAATAACACATCTGTAACACAAAATCAACAATTCAGCAGTCAAATGGTGAGCATGATGAGACTATACTATACCCAGATTAATGTCATTATTCCAATTGAACAGATTAACAGATTAACAGATTAACAAAGGTGTTCCTAATCTTGAACAGATTAACACAAATAACACATCTGTAACACAAAATCAACAATTCAGCAGTCAAATGGTGAGCATGATGAGACTATACTATACCCAGATTAATGTCATTATTCCAATTGAACAGATTAACAGATTAACAGATTAACAAAGGTGTTCCTAATCTTGAACAGATTAACACAAATAACACATCTGTAACACAAAATCAACAATTCAGCAGTCAAATGGTGAGCATGATGAGACTATACTATACCCAGATTAATGTCATTATTCCAATTGAACAGATTAACAGATTAACAGATTAACAAAGGTGTTCCTAATCTTGAACAGATTAACACAAATAACACATCTGTAACACAAAATCAACAATTCAGCAGTCAAATGGTGAGCATGATGAGACTATACTATACCCAGATTAATGTCATTATTCCAATTGAACAGATTAACAGATTAACAGATTAACAAAGGTGTTCCTAATCTTGAACAGATTAACACAAATAACACATCTGTAACACAAAATCAACAATTCAGCAGTCAAATGGTGAGCATGATGAGACTATACTATACCCAGATTAATGTCATTATTCCAATTGAACAGATTAACAGATTAACAGATTAACAAAGGTGTTCCTAATCTTGAACAGATTAACACAAATAACACATCTGTAACACCAAATCAACAAAAATTTTCAAAAATTCAACAGAAATAACACATTGTTATACTCGGCATGCTTTAACATCAAATTTGTTTGGGAAAAAATGAGAAATTCCAACATAAATCAAAATAACGAACGAACCTGAGAAAAATGAGGAAAATTTTCATTCCTCATTTTTTTGGGAAAATTTTTTTGCTTTAACATCAAATTTGTTTGGGAAAAAATGAGGCATTCCAACATAAATCAAAATAACGAACGGACCTGAGAAAAATGATCCTGAAGACGAACGGACCTCGTCGCCGTCGTTTCGCCTTGCCTCACCGCTGCCTCTCCTCTCCTCTCCTCGTCGTTTGGCCTCTACTCTCAATCCGTTTGAGTTCTAAAGCAACACTAGGGTTCTCTTTGAGTTCTGAAGCAACATAAAAGAAACGCGAGAAAAAAAATAAAATTGGTCAAAAACGACGTCGTTTTTGACCATGGCAAGGAAGTATGGCAGAAGGTCCGGACTCATACAAGTGAAGTCATAATTTTCTCTTGCACCAGTGTATATACCCACTTGTACCTTCATATTTTTATAATAACGTTTCATTGAGTTGCTATTTATTCTTAAAAATAAAAGTAAGGATTATTCATCAAATGGAATCAAATAGAAACTTGAAAGTTTACGATCATGACAATTTATTCCAGGATGAGAATATGATTTTCACCAAGATTAAAGAAGGAAATTTTATGGGATAAGCTATTCAGTTTTGTTTGTTTCTAAGGAATTTAGTCCCACCTAACTTGTTCTTTAATTGGTATTTTTTTGGGTAATGCTAGGGACACCAAATTTTCTACCAAACAAATGATCAAATGTCTCACATGGTGTGGGGTCCGCAATTTTGTGGGCCCCACACCCATGTGAGACATTTGGTCATTTATTTGGTAGAAAATTTGGAACCTCTAACATTTTCCTATTTTTTTAGGCATTGTATAGCATCATACAACATTTCAATAGTCAATGTATTGCTTTTTGTCAAAACATAACTGGAAATGGTAAAAGAGAACAAATACACAGAACTGTACGTGTAACTTAGAACAAAGTAGAACCACACCAAGTACTTGACTCCATACGGGTATCCATCTTTATTGGAAGTTCATCAAACAAAATAATTACTGTGTTAGATATAAACTGTAATCTTCAACAAAGACGACTTCACCTAGAAGAATCTTCAGAAGTGAACTTAAGTGAAATACTATTGACGCAACCAGTGCCGATCAAAAATATCATAGAGTATAACCCAGCACCGTCGGAAGCGAACCTGGATCAACGCTGCACCAAAACACATGTCCAGAGCCGACGAAGTAGCTCGATGTCGCGGATCTTCAGTCCGGCGTAGGAGATGAAGATGAGCGCCTGGATCACGAGGGCTTCGGAGACGAAGATGTATGCGATTGCGATGAGAGGAAAGGAGAGAAGGAGAACGAGGCCGGG